TGCTGCCACCTGTAGTCTGCAAGGATTGCACGTGTGCTCTTTCACATATGCAGAGGTAACATTTCTGGAGAAATCAGCTATAATACTCTACATAGGATATATATGGATAAATACAGTATATGATGTCGATGAAAATATGAAAATGTTCATGGTTTGGGTTTTTGTTTTGAGTTTGGGAGGTTTTTTTCTTTTCTTTTTTTTTTTTTTTCAAAGAAACCACATTATTAATGTGCAGAGCTCTGGGCTTTAGGGATCACTTGGATTCCTGGAGAGTTTCAGTTTTGTCTTTCTCCAAGTTAAAGCACATTTTAAATATGTCAGGGATGAAAGCCAATCACAGAAAAACCGAAATATTTAAAAAGCTCCCATCCCTTGTGTCTGACTTCAAAGCAGGTTTGTGTTTAGGACTGGGTAAGACAGTGAGCAAAAGAATGTTTTGCAGTCAGAGGAACCCATTGTTTGCTTAGATCTTCCTCCTTTTTCCCTCCTTGTAACTAAGATGCTTCATGGCTGCACACATTCAACCCTGGCTGTGCCCAAGAGCTCATATCACTCTCCCTACAAAGGAAGTGTCTCCATTTAGGTAATTCCACTCAGGCATTTTCTCTGAGCATGTTTTATTATTGTTTTTCTGGTCTCAGCATAAAGCTGGGGGGAAAAAAGCTGCTACTCACAGATGCTCAGAGTACTGTTTTGGCAACAGATGTTAAGGTTAAAGGCCGACCCATTTAAAATACTGATTGATGACATATATTTACAAGCTAAGATGGTCAATGCGTGAAGAGGCCTAAGGTACACAGTCCTGAAGTGGGTTGCACTTGCAGGATTAGTCATTCCTAACAGCTCCAAAGGCTTCTGTGTGACTTCGGGTACTCAGAATATTACAGCTCACTGCTGAAAAAAAGGGAAGAAAAACTGTAAAAGTGAAATTTTAGAAGTATTGAAAAATCATACTGAGCCTGGAATAGCAACTGCTCTTCTGCCCTTGACTTCTGCTGTTGTAGAGGCACCTAGTTTCCTAGGCAAAGGGATCCACGTAGCAAAGATAGCATTCCTCTCCCCTCAAACAGCTCATCCGTTCTGTTAGGGCTTGGCCGTGGGAAGGACCTTATACACCCTCATATCAGCAGATACCTCCTGCTTCCCTGAACAAGGCAGTTCACTCTCTCTCTCTCCTGATAAACTGCCACTGCCAATGTTTCCTTTTAAAAGCACCATCTTTGGGCTTAACACCCATATGAACACACCATTAGGTAGTCATGGAATCAGAGTGACAGCAGCTTCAAACTTTGAGTGTCTGAAGTCTGGAATAAAAATATGTATATCAAAGCTTTTTACAGTCAAAATGAATTCCAGTAGCAGCATAAATGGCTGATAGCTGATAGCTGATAGCATTCATAGTGCCTACTGTAGTACACCCTGCACAGTGTCCATGACCAGAGAAAGGTCTGTCCCTCTGAAGGAAGTAGAGTTAATGTTCTGTTGGAGTGCCCTTGTCTTGCACTGTGTAAGATAAATAACTTTTAACTTCAAATAAATACCAATTTGGTTCTCAGTGACTCAACAGAAATTACTAATGTCTCACTGCAGATTCACATGGAATCTCGTAGTAAATCCCATCTTCCATTGTGTGCCACATGGCCCTCGAACTACTCTTTAATTACAGGCAGACACCCCATGCAAACGAAGCAAGTGAACAATAGGGTCTGTTCTTTGGCTACATTGGTTCCTGTTTCAGCTTTCTCACTATCCAGAAGCGTCAGGGGTGGATGCAGCCCTCATCCAAATGGCAGGCTGTGCAGTCTCAGAGCCTCACCACCAGGCCCAGGAGCACACATTGCTGTGTCTGATGCCAGAGCAGCCTTGCAGCTCCCCTCATTGCTCCCACTAGCCCTGTGTCTGAGGGATACATGCTGTACAAACCAAGACTCTGGGTTTAGTCTCATTTCCTTAGGAAGCAAGGCTTACGTAATCATTTTGCTCGCTTCTCTGTCCACATGTGTGTCAGTCCCCTTCCCCACAGTATTTTTTTAAATCCATTAGCCAAGCTCAACCACATTTGACAAACGCCTCAGAGATAATTGCGTTCTGACAAGTTTCATGAATACTGGCAGCTGGATACCAGAAAGTGGCACCCAAAATTAGTGTTGCCACTGCCGGAGAGGCAGGCAGGGCTCAGCTGTGACACATGCTGCTTGGCAGCAGGCAGCACACGTGTAGCGCCACATCTGTCAAAGTGTCACTGAGGATATGGGGACAGCTGGGTTTACCCTGACATGCTTCAGCCCATGTTGCGGTGGGCTGCTGATCTAGCAATGCCGTGGAGAGGGGGTGTCAGTGCGAGGGGAGCCAGCGGCTTCTGGGGTGAGGCAGCACAAGCTGCGGTGTGGAAGGGAGGTCAGGGAGACAAGAGATGCCACATGTCAAACCGAGCATGAGCGAGGGTGGTGTGGTAAATAAAGATGTTGGAAAAGGAAAACTCACTGACGAACAAACCCTGCAAGCCTCAGCACACACATGCCACAAGCAGGGACCTTTTCCAGAGGTGTGATCAGCCAGTCAAAAGATGGATAAACTCAGGGTAGATGGAAGAAGCCCTACTTTATCTAGGAGAGGAGGTTCACAGCTAGACAACTCTTCAAGCCCAAGAGTGGGCAATGGGTGTCCACCCTGGTAGTTCCAGAGATGGGTAAACTCCTCTGCATAGTAGTTGGATATGACAGAAACTCAGGGTGACAGGGATTCTGGTTGCATGTGGTTTTCTAATGGGGTGGGTTTGAGTGCATGGGATCGTGCAGGACTTGGCTCCTGGACATACGGATGTGTTGGGTGTTTTTTTTAACATTTTCTTGCTTCTCTAGAGGGGTATGCTGGTTGTAGGTACTCTGCTACTCTGCCTTTCTCATCCACCTCAAGCAAAGAGTTGAACTATCCTCAGTAGCTGAGACAGTAAGGAAGGGGCCAGGAGAGACCTCTTAAACATTCATGAACTGTTCAGGGGCGGGATTCTAAGATAAAAGGTTTGAGTGTGTTTACTGGCCCACCACACTGCTAAAACTACCTTTTGAGGGTTTTTGAGCTTTTTGGCTGAGTTATTGACGGGAGCCAGTAATAGTCTGCCAGCCTTAGAGAGCATAAACATCTCTTTTTAGGTTCATCAGTTTCCACCAGGCTGTGCTGCCAATATACCTGAACTGCGTGTTGTAGGAAATACAGCTGAAGTGTGAAATGACACTGTACAATCAAGGTCAAATTGGTATTTGGCTCATCTTCCAAGCCTGGTAATGAGTGTATGAATAGTAAGGATTTGGGGGAAGTGGAAACTATTGCATTATAAAATGGACTGAAGCCACCAGTAGAAAAATGACATTTTCACAATGTAGCATCCTAGCTTCTGACTTACTGTTATCAGAAAAGGCTTTGACAAATAAATCCTAGCATCACCTGGGAACATCTGACTTCTTAAAGCCCCTTCTGTCTGGCTTTCAGTCCAGAAAGCAAGTTGGTTTCACTGGCTGGTTGACAAACGTTCTGTCTAGCGGGAGACAGAGATGATGTGGTTCATTTTTGTTGCTTTAGATCTGTCAACAGCTGAGGACTCATTGTTCATGAGAAGTTTTTGACTCATCTGAAGTCCCTGACAAAGGTGGCTGGAATCTTGCCTTAAGTGGTTCTGCTCTTCAGTTGCACAGAAACAGATGCTGACATTCAGCCATGTCTTATCCGCCCAGAGGGCTGTCACACATTCCCTATGGCTCCAGATTTTCATGATGCTTTCTGCTTGTTCCATGTCACTGCGAGGGCTTGGGAGGAGTGCCATCCAGAACCCTGTCACTGACAATGGGACATGTCCAAGCATAGCTGACACACAGCTCTGTCTTATTGAATGTGTAGCTCTCCACACAGTGAGTGGGAGAGGAAAGGTGAATGCTACAGGAGGAGAGAAGGCAACGAAACTAGGCCTCAGAGGGCGTGTGGGGTCCTCTGTACTGTATAGCTGGACACTGTGGGTCCTGGCAAACTTCATTTGCTCCCCACAGCCTTCAGAATACAATGTGAGTGGCTGCTCTAGTCCTCCTCTGCCTGCAGATTCCCTGGGAAGCATGCCCTGGTGTGCCAAAACTCTGGGACATGTGTTGTAGGCAAACTTTAAGAAGAGAAGAAGGACAGAGAAACTGAGAAAAGAAGGACTAGACTTTTCCAAGAATTGCACTTAGTAGGAGCCAGTCCTTTTTTCCCCCTGCCATAGGGTGGCATTTGCAAAGTGTTTGTAACGCCAGGCAGCAAGCACTTCTGCGACCTCCCCTCAGTGCAGCCTTCACGCCAAAAGTCGGTGCCAAGGCCCTGACCCCCAGATAGCCTAGATTGTCTTACTGTATGGTTTACTCTTTAGAAGGGAGACTATAAGAAAAAATCTTAATCCTAGCATCTTAATCCAAGAGTCCTGGACAAAGCTTCTTCAACAAAGTATGTGCTTGAGGGCATGACAGACACTTGGCTATTGGTGCCTGACTGCCATGGTAGAGGATAGTAGCCAGAGTCCAAAAAAAAATGGAGCAACACTCCTTCAGTACCTCTGTGTACTAGTAAACCTTTTGTTTTCATGGTCTCATTAAAAATTTCTCCTCACTCCTCTTCACAATTTATTGGGGTTTCATTTGTATCAATATGTGATATTTTAAATGGTCTAGGATGTTCAGCAGCATACTGATTGAAAGTCAAATTTACAAGTTTTAAATGAACAATGAAGACGACCCAAATCCTGGTCCCCCTTACACAAACACGGTGCTCGGAGTTCAGTGTCTAATGTGATGTTGGTAAGATATCATGTACCACTCTGCTGTCAGTATGAGCTCCATCATTCTGCAAACGACGTGCACTGTGAGTTCTCACTCAGAAATACGGTGAAGGCAGGGTGAGAGTCCTGCCAAATCCTGCCAGCTGCTGGGAGTGCTTGCAGGTCTGCAGTCACAGAAAGGAAGAAATGGACCACCTGAGAGGGTTGGAGGGGAGACACACACGTCAAAATACCTTGATACAGCCTTGAGTGCTGTTCAAGCACAGCAGTATTCACTAATATACTGGGTCTCTGAATAGGTGACTCCCCTGGCAGTATGACTCCCCCAACAGAAGTGAGCTGTTGTGTGTTTGTGTCCCAGGGTCAGGTGCGGGATAGGGAAGGAGTTGGGGACTCTCAGGGACTTATTTGGAAGCTTCTTTCCTTGCTGATTTTATTTTGCAAAATGATGTGTGTTCACAGGCATGTACAGTGGTTCCGGCGCTAACCATAACGGTCCCTCACCAGGTATATTGCCGCCTCCTCATGACATCCCTTCAAGACACCATCCACTTGACTCTACCCTTTCCAGTCCACATCACCATCAGTCGCCGTTGGAGAGTGCCAGGGAAGGGTATGTGTATGAAACATGCTTGGCCTCTGTCTGGCATGATAATGAATGATTAGTGTTTATTTTACTTTGCATTGATGCTGTTCGAAAACCACTGGCTCAAACTAAGCAATTTTGTTTGTTTTAGAATAATAGAATAATTTAGTTTTGAAGGGACCTCAGAAGGTCATGCCATCCATGCCCTGTGCAAAGCAGAGCAAACTTTGACATTACTATCAGGTTGCTCAGGGTCTTGTCCTTGTTTTCAACAAAACACACTGAGATTTTTTTTTCATAGAGTGCAATTGCATTTAGTTTTAATTTTTTTTTTTTAATTCTTCCTTGATGACTTCTTGTAGGTTTGGAAAAGTGCAGAGAACTTTTCTCAGCTAAAATGAGAAATCTCTCAAAGGGTAAAAACCCAAACTATGACTCACTCGGGAATAAGGCAGTGTTTGCCTTAGTAAGAGTTATTTTGTGTCAGAGCAGCAGGCTTTCTCACTTCCTTGCTCTCTGATAAGATTTTCTGTAATACATGTCTCAGCAGCAGGCATTAACGAGTAAGCTCCTAATCAGGGAAGGGTATATTATCACATTGATTATATAGATTGCATTGCTACAGTATGGATCACATTACATTGCTACAGTATCTGATATTTCTAAAGCACCATTTGCTCAAGGATCTCATAACATCTTCTCAACAGTAAAGAATCTCTGTAAGCCACAAAATTCTGCTCTAATCTTTTTGCTCAGATTCTTTTTGTGCCTAGCCTCACGCAAATTAAGCATCAAACTTAAGAGTTTTTCTTCCCAGCACTTTGGACAGAGAAGGGACTCTGATTTTTCTTTACTGATGGGAACTTGGGATACAGAGAGATTAAGAGATTTTTTTTTTTCTTAAAAATATGTTGTGGTTCTTTAACAAATACAGCAATTGAATATAGAGTTTTCCTATCCTAGTCCAGTGACTGGCCCATCCCTTCTTTTATATAGGGAAAGGAAAGCCCAGAAAGTTTTTAATTGTGTGCTTTAAGCAAAGGGCAGGAGGCAGAGTGTATATGGCATGTAAGTGGCACAGTAAGGAAAACTATACCTGGAACAGTTGAAGAACAATCTGACTGAGGAAATTCAATTAGGAACTCAATTTTTTGCTTAATTGGGGAATGAATGCTGTAGCAAGCTTAGCTTCTATACCCTGTTCCTCCTTCAGCCATCTCTTCTGACCTATGCCAGGAGCAAGTGCCAGTGCCCCCTCCCAATGTACAATGCATATCTGCCCATCACAGGACTAGACTTACCCTGTCCCTGTCACATAAGATGCCTGTGCCCAGCCCTTCTCCTTCCCTGCCCTGCCTCCCACATTTCCTGTTGGCAGACTCATACCCGTGGCAGTCATGGCCGACAGGAGGCACTGGGCATGCTGATTTAGGCGGAAGTTATACCACATAGATATGAAGTTTTCTGTAGCAGAGAAGGCAGTGAGCACAAATAGGAAGTACGGAGACAGTCCAAAGTGAAGGGAATCCACAAGCTATTCTTTCCCTGCAGAATGGGAGTACTTGATCCTGGGGGAGTAGAATCCTTTCCTCTCACTGCTCCCCAATGTGCTGCTCAGCTGTTTCCTCTTTGAGTTGGTTCCTAGGGGAGTTAAGGCAAAAAATCCCAACCAAGATTGAAATAAAGTAAGGATATACTATGGGAAGAATTTAACGGGCTGTCAAAAAGGTGGATTTGTTTCTAAGGCACATCACATTCTGGTACTGTTAATAAGAAATGAAAGCAAAGACTTGACCAGAATGAGGGCAAGAGACAGTTTTGCAGTTTGAGGGGTCTGAAGCTCCCAGATGAATGCTCCTTACTGCCTCTGGTGTCTCCATTCCAGAGTACATCACTTCTCCTTCAGCAGAAATGCCATGCTGAGTGATCTGTTTCTCACTGAGCTCCTTCTACAGGCATTTTGATCATTTCCTTAGGCCAAAGTTTATGTCAGAATTGTCTCTGCTGTTTTCAGTTCTAGTGGAATAGGTATTCTTTCTCAGAGGAGACAAAAGTGCTGATTTATTATCTCAGTGCTTATATGCCTAAGTAATGTGAAATCTTTGCAGAAACACCATAGTTAATATCCTATGACAAAATGCAAGAGTGAGATGATAACAGATTTCTAACCATGAACCAAACATCAGGAAATGGAGAGTGGAATGTATTTTTGAATAGTCATTTTAAAACAGGGTATCTAGTTTCATGACATAATTACTTGGAATTTTTCAGCATCTCAAATACCATTTTCTAAACTCAAAATAATCTGCATCGGCATTGTCATACCCAGTCCAAGATCCTTTTGCTGTATTTAATTGTTTATGCTTACATTATTAATGACTGCTGAAATAAAGCCTATACATGACATTTTAATTGCAAGTACAGAAACTTAGTGTGAACTAATAGTCCTTGAATTTCATTTAGCACAGTTTTGTTTAAAGCATTCATCCATTTAACTGGGCAAAATCACTTAATAATCCAATGTTTGGAGCCACTGACATAGAACCGTTACACCTTTGCCAGTTCATAGCAGTATGCCATTACTCATATAAAATATATATGGTTTACAATAGGAAAGAAACACCTAACACTACCTTTCTTCATATTAACTGCTCCAGCTTTCTGGCACACACATAATGTTTTGCCTCATTTGTCAGCTGTCTCAGCATTCATGTTTAAGTAAATGCGAAGAATTTCTATACTGTGAATCAGTACGATGACAAGACTGGATTGCATAGTTTAAGTCTGTGGAATGAACCAAATGATTACTATCAAGAAACCTAATTACTGAGTCATCAAATGTGCAAGATGCCAAAAACTACATGAGGCGGAGTACAAATAGTCTACTCAAGTTTGACATAAGATTCAGAATTTGATTTAAAGGCTTTTTCTTTTTTATTTAGAAAAGCTCTATGTTATACCATCCTTTGCCAAAGTCAATATCAAGTCCAGCAGTCAATTTTCCCAAATGGTTTGCTAAGACATTTAAATAGTTTGACAAAATTATCTAATTCACTTCAAAATGTTCTAGCAAAATCTGACTTCATTACCAAATGTATTTATACTGGCTTTATACAATATAGACAGTATTTTTTCAAATTCTGGTATGAAGTGTATGCTAGACCAAAAAATTTTACTTACACTGATATTAATTAAACTAAAAGTGTGTGACTGAGAAATATTTTGGCATACAGAAAGTGGGCTTGTCATGATCCAGGTTTAAATATTTTTTTTTTCAGGTAGCAAAGGTTTATTTTAGCATTTCTTGTAGCATATGCCATGTATAGTGTCTAACTTGGTTTCATTTTGCCTATTGCAAAAATAGTCTATTTTGATTTGTAGCAGAATGAAGACGGAAAGCTAGCTTTTAGTATTAACTCTTAGGTGGATGTTGCACTTGGCTTGCTTTCTACTATTTTTTTAGCTGTTATTATCTAAGTCATCTAAAAATGTACTTAGTTTAATTTGTAAACTATCTCTGTAAATTCCAGTTGAAAATATTTAGTGTGATAAATTACCAGCTTAAATGAAACTGATATGACTAAAGTTAAGTGAGTTTGAGTGGTGGCACCGAGTTAGGGATTTGCAACAATTTAGCTTAATGACCTAACAAGGTCACTTTGTAGGATCTGAACATGGTCCCTCTATATGTGACTGTGAGGCCCTCTGTCACTTGTGTCGCCCATAACAAACAGCACTGATGTTCTCAAAAGAAGCTGGGGGTACTGACAAATAACAACTGTACTGGGAAGGTGATGTGTCTCCGAGGGAAAGGAAAGTGAAACTATTTTTTTATATTCCTGTGGTAGTTTAGATCATTTCTGCTCTGTAAACACAACAGTAAATGACGAACTAGTGGGATTAAGACATCTGTGATGTCCATAGGTGATGATTAATGAGAACTCTGAATCCAGTCTTATGAGCCTTTAATATAAAGGATTAAGTAATCAAGGTTAGAGGAAGGAGCTTACACAACTCTCTTTTGCCTGGGCTTCTCACCAGCCAACTGCAACCAGTTCAAACCATGTTCCAGACACCCCTGAAGAGCCACTTACCCATACAAAATCACAAGAAATAGGACTTAAAAACAGTCAAGTGAAAAGAGACATTTTAATCAGGCCGCTTAAACATCAGATTTTTTGTTTGCTTGCTTCTTAGCACCTGTTAATTCAAATACCACAGAAATACTTAAATGTAAAGAGATGTCTGTTAAAAATCTGGTCCTTCATTTCTCTTTACATAAAGTAACACAACATATGCTGACCCTCCCTTCTTGCTCAGCCAGGGAACACCAGATTTGAGATTCCTGATATTTTAAAGGTTGAAAACAAATATACAGGATAAAATCTTGTGTGTTAGATTTTTATTTGTACTAACACCATGTTATACTTTGGCAGCAAGAGGCTGTAAGCCAGCTCCTCCCCACGTTTCAGCCCTGTTACGCACATTGCCAGGACCCTGTCAGGTGCCTCCATTTCAAAGAAGAATCTGGCCCAGCCCCCCTATCTGCGCTCGGGGAGCTGTGGGGGTGGGAGAAGGCACCCTCCAACATCCCCGCATCTCTGCTCTGTGGGATTGGGTTTGGATTCAGCTTTACTGGTAGATGATGATGGCATACGAAGGGTTTGCCCATCAGATGGGACCAGACTCACATTGTTTCATTGTTGTTTGCAAGCAGCTAGTTTTCTGGAACATGACTATTTCTGGGATAAGACTTAAGAAATAGCCCCAAAAGCAGTAAAAGAAATGGGGGAGATTCTTTTCAGTAGGTTGTGCTATCTCCTTAACTTCCAGAATCCATGGCCAGATAGAAAAATACAATTGTGAACCTAATTCTCATTACGTTCAGTGACAATTAGGTGTCTAACTACTTATGTGTAAATTTTATTAATCTTTAAGTTTGTGAGCACACATAAATAAATTGACTAGGTACTGGCATGTTGCTAGAATCTTTGTAGGAAACAAACTTTTACTCTCTAGAAGTACTC